GATGGGCGAAGGCGGCGAGCCTTGTACTTCATCTTTCCCCTTTCCTCCGGTTAGGCTGCGTCCCAAAGTGCCAGAGCGTCTATAAATTTTATTTCGACACCCTGATCGCTCGAAGCGCTACTTTTCTAGCTGCAAAAAAAACCCCAAACAACCCACACTAAGAGATTAAAGTCCTCCTAATATGAACCCTCATGGAATATTTCTGTTAACAACTCAAGGCAAGTGCAGATATTGACAATGTACTTAAGCCCATTAGCAAGGAGCTTTTCCCCACTTCATCACGTTTTTCTACCGTGAAACGAATTTTTAGAGAGTGCTGCCACTAAAAGCAATTCAGTATGTTTAAAAGATGTCCGGTAAGGAAAACGACAATAACGCAGAGGTGCACATTAAAAAAAAAATAGAAGGGTCGGAAAGGGCAGTATAAAATTGTGACCAGGAGGGAGCTGGCCAAGGACGAGACACGGTATTAATGCAGTGAAAACCGAGAAAACCAAGCGCGCCCATTCGCAGATGAGTGTGTGCAGGCTGGCGAGCGTGCAGACAGACTCCCAGCCCGCACCTCTGTCCCTCAGCTGAGCGGCAGCCTTTCAGAACTTCAGAAAGTGGATTAATAAAGCAAGAGGGCTGGAAATTCATTATATGTTGCACAATGGAATTGATCAAAGACATAAAGAAGTTTTTTATAGCCAACTTTATAACCCATAAAAATCGGGGGGTTTTCCTATTCGTGTTTGCCTTTAACTTAGGTGTTATCAATCTATACAGCACATGACGGATGACCTTGTCAAAATTACGCCAGTCAAAACATTTTTTGCCCCAGCCCTGTTCAAATTTGTGTTAAAATGTCCTGCCTTAGACACAGACAAAGTCTAAACAGCAGCAGCTTTCCCAGGGTCTGCGAGAATGAAGGGTGGGAAAGAAATAAACTAGAAATAGGGTGGGGGGAATGGCGAAAACAGTTTACACGCGGACACGTTATGTTTGTCAGCAAGTGTGCGTTTAGTGACAGCGTGACACCTGACAATATGGGGGGGATGTCTGACACTAGAGAGATGTTTTGGTGGCACAAACACTTTATGTGTTTTGTCTTAAATGCATGGGGTACTATGTACATGTGATCTACGTAAGAGATTATACTTCTCGCCTAGTTTTTCATACGGTGTAGGAAAGAAACTGAAAAAAAACCCCAACTGTTAAAATACTCACTGATATGTGAGCTCGACAACTGAGTGGCGGGGCGGGAAAAGCCAATTTTTAAGCAAAGTGGAGAGAAAAAGCCGCTAGAGATGAGAAGTTTCTCGCCACAGGTTGCATCTCCGTCTGCGTACTTCTTTGCTCTGTGCTGTACTCAAGTACAGAGAGCAAGAGGGAGACGTGCTGGCGCTGGTGGGGAGAAGTTCTGGGGAGGGACAAATTCTGGGGCGGTGAGTTCCCTCATCTGCGTTGGGACCTCTCGGGGCAGGTCTCAGGTAGCCGAGGGGACCGGGAGGCAGGTAATCCCGGGAGACACCTGCAGTAGGTGGGAGAGTATTAGGACAGCGAAATGGGCCGAGGGGCAATAAGGCAAGGGAGGCAAGGCCGTGGCTGCCGGGAGCCTGGCTCGGTCCGGGGGGTCCCGCCACCC